TACCGAAAAACCTGTAACGCGAAACGAAACGAGACGACGAATGGTTGTTGTGTGGAATGTTCAAATTCAGGTTTCTACCGTAGATTGCTGTTACCGATTTTTACGAATCTTTTTGCAAGTTTTTCGTAGCAGAACTAGAAAATTATAAGTATTTCGAAGAAAAGGCGATAGAAATAAGCGTGTGGAAGCAGTATACAAAAGACTTGGGAAAAAGACAACTGAAATGGAAAAAAAAATCAAACAGCCGATGCAAAATGAGAATAACTACGAGTGATATTTTCAGGGTTAACATATTTCTCTTCTTCATTGATAGACTCGTATCCAAACGGCAGGCCTACAACGAATTCAATGAAAATTTTTGGTGAAACCTGATTCTGGATCATTGAAAAGTCTATCTTCGTTTCTGCGAAAACAGAATTTGCAAAACGCTTATCCAAACTTGGGTATAGTAGTTCGCATGGCTCTAAGTATACCAACGACAAAATGTTCGCTTGAGAGAAGTTTTTCTTGCTTAAAACAGGTGAAAAATTATCTAAGATTATGGTATATCTTAGATAATTTTTCACCTGTTTTAAACGAGAAAAATTTCTTGCTTCACAGCCAGAAAATGAAGTCAGCTAATGAACAAGATTCCATACGATATAATTGATGATGTAATTAGGACGTAGTGCATAAATCATAAAGTTATAATTTCATTGACAAAAAAAAACTTGTAAATAACATGACTGTGAACTAGGATATCGAATTGTAGAAGTCAGTAGGGGCAGCAAAATTTCCTTGGGCTAGGCTTGTGCAGATGTTTACCGACTGTCTGCGAAGTGCCAAGTTCCCCACCGCATGGAAAGAGGCAAGGCCTCTTGAAGAAGGAAGGCAGGGCCGCCGATTCTCCCTTCGCGTACCGTCCCATATGCCTCTTGGAAGAGATTGGCAAATTTTTCGAAAGAATAGTTGCCACTCGGCTCAACGGGCATCTGTCGCGCGTTGGTCCCGTTGGTCCGTTTGGCTAATAGCCAGTTTGGATTCCGACGAGAGCGTTCTACAGTAGATGCCATCATGCGCGTCCGCTCCCTGTCGGAACAAGCAATATCCCAGGGTGGTGTGGCGTTGGCGATAAGTCTCGATATCGTCAACGCCTTTAATTCTCTACCCTGGGGCGCAATCAGGAGCGCACTGGCACACCATCAGGTGCCCACCTACGTGCAAGGTGTTATCGAGGTCTACTTGCGCGACAGGTACGTCCTGTACATGGGGCAAAATGTTAGAAATATTTGGAGGTAGGTCAGACGTTGATGCGGTTCTACGAGTTGAACTTCCCGCTGGCGCCGATATCGTTTGTTATGCCGACGACACGTTGGTGGTTGCCAGTGGGGTCACCTTCAAGAGGGCGAAAGAGCTCGCCGAGCTTGAGGCGGAAGTTGTCGTCGCCAAAATCCACGAATAGGGATTAGAAATAGCGCCTCACAAGACCGAGGCCCTATGGTTCCATAAATTACGAGGTGTCAAGGAACCACCCAACTCGTGCGTCCGCGTAGGTGGGTCTGAAGTCCGAGTGGGGTGGTGGGTATGAAGTACCTAGGCCTCCACCTGGACAGTCGATGGGGGTTCGTAGAACACTCCGAGCGCCTTGTCCCCCAGATTGAAAGGGTAGCGGGTGCTATGCATAGACTGCTGCCCAATCTAGTGGCACCAAGGGAAGAAGTGCGTCATCTCTATGCAGGAGTGATACGGTCCATAGCCTTGAACTTCTTCGCCTGTTTAGGCGAAAAGTCTGGCCATCCGACGCTGTAGAGCTAAAATCTACAGGGTGCAGCGGAGGATAGCCATACGGATCGTGCGAGGATACCGCACGATTTCCTTTGAGGCGGCGACAGTCCTGTTTCACTTTCCACCTGTGGACATACTGGTGGACATGGATGCGAGGGTGTACGACCGGACGCGTGTCCTCCGCCAGAGCGACGGAAGTGAGCCAGGTGAGGTGTTCGAAAGAGTCAAGTGGCAGGAACGACTTAACGCATTCGTAACGTTACTATGACCCATAGACATCTACATTTATCCTCAATAAAGAATCAAAATGCAGATGCGTCGTCACTGTCAGAACTAAGATGGAATGCCTCTTTTCCAGTAAAATGGGTCTCGATTCTCTTCACTCACCATACGAAACATAGCAGTATCAAGCTGCCATTTTACGCTGGTATTCTGTGAGTGCGTGGTCCTTCCCCGGTCGAGCCGACCCATTCGTGCTATAACTATACTACTAATATAGCTGCAGCATGGCTCTACCACGTATGAATATCACTCAGCCTGCAATTATACTGGCTCTGTATACCTCGCCTCTCTGAAGAGCGTTATGCGCGCAAACGCGTTGTTGAAGCAATCCTGCTGTAATTTGAAGCCTGGATGCATCGAAGAACAGGAACACTCACCTACAGACTTACCTAGATATTGACCGGACAGGGTGCTTCGGTGATTATTTGTGTAAGATTGGACGCGAAGCGACGGCGAACTGTTTCCACTGCGGTGGGCAGGAACAGGACTCCGCATCCCATACGCTGGCAACATACCCAGCGTGGAAACGGGATCGGACGGTCCTGGTAAGCCGGGTTGTTCAGAACCTTTCCCTGCCAGCAGTCGCGTCGGCGATGCTGAGCAGGAACTCTGCGTGGAGGGCCGTAGCCGCCTTCTTTAAATCCATTATGGTGCACAAGGAGGCTGCAGAGCGGTGTCGGGAGAGGACGGATCCCGCTCTCGGAGACGACGTCACCAAGGCGTTTGTCACGGCCCTCCCCTTGATGATGGTGTTCCCCTACCAGAAATGGGGCCTCGGGGGTTACGGACGCTCAGGGCGGGGGCCCCGTGCGTAGTGATGTAACACCTAAGGAGGACGGTGACACGAAAGTGATCTCGAGCACGGGACTGAGTTTTTTGATTTCAATATCCTCGCGAATCATCCTTAGAAGGAATCGGTTTTCTTTAGCGAGGATTTGAGGATTGAGACGTCAAACACCTCAGTCTCCCCCGTGACCATGGGTGCTGTAAAGTACTCGAAACTTCGGGAATATAAAATAAGATATTATACGCGATAAAATCCGTAAAACTAGTTTTATTTGAATATAAATATAGATATAGATGTTTGAAGTTAAATCAACCCTAAGTAATAAGGGGTTTCTAAGGAAAATAAAAAATAGGTAATCGTGCAAAAAAGGTTCGGCGTTTTAAAAACAATTCCTTTTTGGAATAACGTATATTTTATAGCAAAGAAACGTTATTCACAAAACAAGTTCAAGAAATTGAGAGTACTCTACCGGACGATTTCTATCCCGCGACAACTTTGAAATATCTACGGGGGCTAATTTGAAAAATAAAGACACTTAATTTTCTTAATTTTTGTTACGAGTTTTATAGGGTCCTGTGACCATAGGTACTGTAAAGCACTGGAAACGTTATGAATACAAAAATATATTAAAATAAGTAAATTAAAATTTATCTATAAAGTATATATAAAATAAAATAGTTTCATTCAAGATTTCATTTCATTTCAGTCAGCAAAATTTACATACAATAAAACATAAGCCATCTTATTATAAAACGTGAAATGACGGCAGTCTCAGGCTTAAACGAAGGTTTAGTCTTCCTAACTAAAGAAGCCCCTTAACTATATCGTCACATTCTTCTCGAAAGTGACTGGTTTTTTTAGCTTGAATTCCATACTTTAGATTTTAAATCGCTTATTTCCACGCGATTTCTTTCGTAAAACAGATTCTGAGACTAATAATTATAAACTACTTTTTATTTTTGTAACAAGACAGATAGTACATGTCGGCGATACGCCAGGGTTTTCACGCTCAGAGTCCATTACAATGAAATAGCACGCCAAATATTAAGTAGTTTATTTTCGCACAATTGCGGGTACAGAACAGAACAGTCTTTATAAAAATCAACCGCCTTTATAGTTTCCAATAGTTTCCTTTACAAAAATGGATATAGCAAATACAACTTCTTTTAAATCAAACAACTAAAATTAAGTACTACAAAATAATTCTTAAAATAGAGCTCAGTATTCATAATAAATATTTTAATGAATTTAAATAACTACAAATGATTTTTATTACATAAATCTTTGTTCATTTAATTTGAATAGACATTAGTTTTTCAGTCAGTCAAAATCCGGGCTCTAATACTGTTAAGAGGTGGCGCTTGTGGCAAGCAAGATTCGAATGAAATTAAACAAAACTTATTACATAAAATAATAAAATTTGATACAAAATAATGATATTAATTCTAATAGATATTAATTTGAACATTTACACAGTAAAATTAGTATTTTAACGATAAATGAAACATCAAACGTCTTCAAAAATTTCAAACAGTCAAAACAGTGTCTACTAAATATCAGACCATAATAAATAACGGTTTATGTTTATAAATAACAATTTAAATTTAAATCTTATATATTTCAGATATTTTTATACTAATATATTCACTTATAATATTATATTTCTATACTAATATTCACTTTTAAACGATTAACTATTAACATAAATATCAATATTTGCCACTTACTGCCGATAGATGGCGATTTGCGTCCATATATCAATATTTGCTAATTATTGCCGATAGATGGCGATTTGCGCCCATACGGCCATACTGACTCCAGCGCGTCCCTTGCGCTGTTTTTATGACAATTTCAAACAAGGCATCACCCATACTGGGATCCAGCCAACACACAAGGCATCACCCATACTGGGATCTAGCCAACACACAAGGCATCACCCATACTGGGATCTAGCCAACACACATGGCATCACCCATCCTGGGATCTAGCCAACACAAAAGGCATCACCCATCCTGGGATCTAGCCAACAAGACCAGGTTTAAAGGAATACGCATGGTGGCCAGCCAGCGTTTTAGGAAGGATATTGGATAGGAAAAATAAATTTCACGTACACACATTAATAATTACAAAAATAAATCATATATATCAATTATCAACATAACTGCAATCATATAGAACCAACATTGTCCGCGAAGGAAGTGGAAGCACCCTCGGTCTCCACCGACTTCTCTGCCCATAAGGTCAATTCGTCTGAGTTGTCAGAATCATTAAAAGGGTCTGATTGAGCTATAGGGGCAGGACGCAAGGCATCGTGACTTGCGATCTTTTCTGAACAGCCACGAAGGTTAACATGTTTAAGTCTATATCGATCATTTGGTAATATTTCTAAAATTTCCATTGGACCTTCAAATTTAGAGCCTAACTTAGTAGTGTGTCGTTCATGGCGCCGCATTAAGACGAAATCACCGACTTTAAATGAGTGGATTGTGGCTTTACCTTTATCAAAACGAGTTTTATCGTTAAGGGACCGCTCGTCCATCCGTTTTTTAGCAATCAATCTAACTTCCTCTAAGTCGTCTGTTAGTATGTCATCGTCAATTTGCAATATTTTAATGGCAGGTGGGGAACATCTTTTTCCTAATAATAATTCCATGGGACTTTTACCTGTACTTTTTGATATTGTGCAGTTTATAGCTAATTGTAATTCTTGTAAAGCTGTGTGCCATGGCCTACTTAGTTCAATAACAGACATGTTATCCTTTATAACTTTCATTAATCGCTCAACCTGACCGTTGGCCCTACTAGCTCCCTTTGCTACTACGTGGTGTTGAATCCCATACCGTTCGCAAAAGTTATTAAACTCTGTAGAAGTCATGCTTTTATCTTGGTCAGTAATTAATCGTGATGGAGGGCCAAATATTGAAATTAGATTTTGAAAACATTTAATAGCAGTTTCACTAGTACGATCATTTGTATAAATCATATGGACATACTTAGTGAAGCCGTCAATAAATACAAAAGCATATTCAGGTTCGTTACGTTTTCCGTTCATTCTTCCAGTTATATCTGCATGAACGGTATGGAAAGGAATAGCTATTTTGTTAATGGGATGTAAAGTAACCTGTCAGCGCCAGATACTCCTTTTCTTACTCTACACATAACGCAATTTTCTACAAATTTTCTAACTAACCTGGTCATATTAGGGAAGCAATACTGCTCTCGTAATTTTTCAAGAATCTTTTCCCAGCCAAAATGTTGAAGATTATCATGATAATGGGATATAAGACTCCATCTATAATTACGTGGGACTATAATTAACTTATGTGTCTTGTTATTAATTTGTACTTTACGTCTCAGTAATTTGTCCTGGAGTATAACGTAAGTTTCTGCGATATTTTTGGGAATCGGATCACCTTTCAATTGTTTTACAATACTAGCTAGAGTTGAATCGCGCTTTTGTTCTATAAGGAGCCAGTTATGGTCAAGGGTAGCGGTATTAATGGTCAAAATTAAGGAACTTGTTTTATTAGATTCTAAACACTGATTTAATTGACGTCCATTAGAATTATTAATTGGGTTACGACTGAAGAAGTCAGCATGAGCAAGTTTATCACCCTTGCGGTATTCAATTTCAAATTGAAAGTTTTGCAAGAAGGCCCACCATCTATGCGCTCTAGGAGTTAAGTCTCGTTTGTGACTCGAAGCTTTTAAGGAATTGCAGTCTGTGACTACTTTAAATGACCGGCCATAAAGGAAATGGCGAAAATGTTTTATAGCCTTAACCACAGCAAGAGTTTCTAGTTCATACGAGTGATATTTACTCTCTGTATCCGAAGTTCTCATACTAAAATAAGCCACTACTAAAGGATTTTTGTCTTTTCTCTGAATCAGTACAGCGCCATAACTAATTGAGCTGGCATCTGTATGTAGCTCAGTTGGCAGATTTGGGTCAAATATAGTTAAAACTGGGGAAGATGTGAGTATGTTAATTATTTTTCGTCGAGCAAGTTCATGACGTTCAGTCCAATTAAAAGAAACATTTGTTTTAGTAAGGTTGTATAAAGGGGCCATGATTTTAGAGAAATTGGGTACAAATTTTCGGAAATAGCCTGCTAAGCCGTTAAATTGCCTAACTTCTTTAATAGTTTTAGGTGTTAAAGAGTCAGTAAGAGCCTGAATTTTTCTTGGGCTTGGCTTAACAGTGCCATTTTCAATAATGTTACCGAGATATTCAATTTTAGTTTTGAGAAAAGAACATTTGGAAATATTTAGAGAAAATCCAGCCTGAGTTAATCTAGTCAAAACAAGATTCAAATTCATCAAACCCTGCTGCACAGATTCAGATACAACCAAAATATCGTCAACATAAACTAAAGCAATATTATGTTTATAATCACCCAAGGCAGCATTTATGGCGCGTTGGTACACCGACGCAGCATTGCAAAGACCGAATGGCATTCGAAGATATTCAAACTGTCCATCCGGCGTCACAAATGCCGTCTTCTCGATAGAGTCTTCTGCTATAGGAATACCGTGAAAGCCGGAGGCCATGTCTAAGCAACTATAATATCGAGCTTTGCCTAATCTATCAATTTGGTCTGCTATAAGGGGTAAAGGATAATTGTCTCTAACGGTATTTGAATTTAACTCTCGAAAATCAACGCATAGTCGGTCCGTGCCGTCCTTTTTCTTAACTAATAATATAGGGCTGCTGAACGGTGATGAGCTATCTCTTATTATGCCATTTTCTTTTAAGTCTTTAATAATATCCCGGACTTTCTCACGTTCCATCGGGGACAAACGATATGGTCGGCGTTGCACAATCTTATCGGGATTTTTTAATCTAATTTTTAGTTCCCCGGTGCTCACCTGTGACACGCGATTTCCAGATGTGAAATTATCTTTGAACTTATTGATAATACGATAGATTTCTTTAATTTGTGTTGGGTTAGTAAGGTCGGTATCTAATTCAAAACAGGATGTCGAATTTAAACATTCATTGATAAAAAATTGGCGATTAATAGATATATTGTCCTCGCTAATGGTAACGCTAAGGCCGGGTATTTTTAAAAGATTAAAACCTATTAAGATGTCAAATTGAGTTTCATTGTCACCCACTACATAAAACTCGAGCTCTAAGCGAACATTATCAATTTCAACTACAGCTGTAATGCTTTGTTTTGAAATAACTGTTCGACCCCCAATACCGATAAACTTCACATCAACTTGTTTACGTTTTCCGGCAACGGAGCCGGCTATTTTCTCTCGAATTAATGAACAGTCAGCTCCTGTATCAAAAAGGCAGTTATAATTTTTGTTACCAATTATTACATTAAAAGTGCTACGTTTAATAGATGAACAATAGTTAATCGTTTTATTTGAGGCATTGCGTTCGTCACTTTGACGGCGGTAACAATTTTTCTCTAAGTGGCCCTTACGAAGACAGTATTCGCACTCGATAACCTTAACGTTATTAGAACTGCCACGGGAATTGAAATTATTATTTGATTGTGACATAACAGGGTTATTTTTGGAGGGATTTTTGCAGTCTCGTGAGAAATGACCTGGCTTATTGCAACTAAAACATACGACTTGTTCCTTTGAAGGTCCCGTAACACGTGGTTTCTTAACATCATTATATTTACTCTCTCTATTTTCAATTTTACGTTTTCGGAATGTTTTTAGAACCGATACTAATTTGGGAAACGAATTGGGGGTATTTCTCAACAACTCAGAACGAATAAATTCAGGAAAAATACCTGTGATTAGTGCCTCCACAACCTCGGTATCGGCAGCTTCTGGTCGAACCCTCCTGAAGAGCGTCCAAGCCGTTGTAGCATATTCAGCGTAGCTGCTCGCTTGGTCGGAAGTGTAGCTGCGCCATTTCTGCCCGTCGTCCGCGTACCGGAACTGGTTGCCAAACGTATGAGTCAGCTCTTCCTTTACTTGTTCCCATGTGGTTGAATGCAGTGACCAGGTGTCGGCCCATGTCTTTGCTCGTCCTCTCAATTGCAAGATGGCCTTCATTCGAGCTTCATGGGGTGAAATATTCAACTTCGTAATGGTCTCGTCCACGTTAGCACACCAGTCTCTGATGTCGTGTGATCTCTCATCAGGGTTGAACGGCGGTAGATAAAAGTCATGGTGCCGCCGTAAAGATGCAGTCTCCGTGGATAACGTCACTCTCGCAGCGCTTGTCGCGGCAGTTTTCGTTATGGAGGTTAGGAGACCCATCACTTGTTCCATAGTGAAGGTCGTCCCATCTGGAGGCCCTGAAGAGTCTTGGGGCTGTGATCCCACTTCTGATGTCGGCGATACGCCAGGGTTTTCACGCTCAGAGTCCATTACAATGAAATAGCACGCCAAATATTAAGTAGTTTATTTTCGCACAATTGCGGGTACAGAACAGAACAGTCTTTATAAAAATCAACCGCCTTTATAGTTTCCAATAGTTTCCTTTACAAAAATGGATATAGCAAATACAACTTCTTTTAAATCAAACAACTAAAATTAAGTACTACAAAATAATTCTTAAAATAGAGCTCAGTATTCATAATAAATATTTTAATGAATTTAAATAACTACAAATGATGTTTTATTACATAAATCTTTGTTCATTTAATTTGAATAGACATTAGTTTTTCAGTCAGTCAAAATCCGGGCTCTAATACTGTTAAGAGGTGGCGCTGGTGGCAAGCAAGATTCGAATGAAATTAAACAAAACTTATTACATAAAATAATAAAATTTGATACAAAATAATGATATTCATTCTAATAGATATTAATTTGAACATTTACACAGTAAAATTAGTATTTTAACGATAAATGAAACATCAAACGTCTTCAAAAATTTCAAACAGTCAAAACAGTGTCTACTAAATATCAGACCATAATAAATAACGGTTTATGTTTATAAATAACAATTTAAATTTAAATCTTATATATTTCAGATATTTCTATACTAATATATTCACTTATAATATTATATTTCTATACTAATATTCACTTTTAAACGATTAACTATTAACATAAATATCAATATTTGCCACTTACTGCCGATAGATGGCGATTTGCGTCCATATATCAATATTTGCTAATTATTGCCGATAGATGGCGATTTGCGCCCATATACACTATCTGCTAGCATACTCAGCATGGAGATAAGATTAACAATGGTCCAGCTCTTCTTGTTACTACCCGTCATCGTATACTTTGTTCCCAGACGGATTTTACCCCGATATTATCAGGGGTAATGGTTAAAACAACAACAGACGTTAACTTTATAAGCGACGTCTAGACGTACCTGTAGGTATTTACCTATTTTAATGTTGTTTTTTTTTACACTATTTTAGTGTTCATTTCATTCTGAACCGTCGGGTTATTGCAATTTTGGCAAATGGATTACAATAAAATATTTTTTTTATAATTTTCCTCACTTTGGGTATTAATTCACAACATGCTGTAAATTGCAACATTTTGTAAAAGTAAGTTTTTTTTTATAGGATAGGGTAACAAACGAGCACACAGTCCACCCGATGAGAGTGGTTGCTGTGACCCATGGATATCAACATATATCCTCCGAACTAAAATGCAGATGCGTTGTCACCTGTGAGGACCAAGATGTAATGCCTCTTTTCTAGTAAAAAGGGTCTCCGGTTCTCTACACTCACCATACGGAAAACAGCAGTGTTAAGCTGCTATTTTAAGCTGGTATTTTGTGAGAGCGTGGTCCTTCCCCGGTCGAGCCGACCCATTCGTGCTACAACTATACTACTAATATAGCTGCAGCATGGCTCTGCCACGTAAAAAAAATGAGTTACCATCAAAGAAAAAATTTCACAATGTATATTGTTTTATGTGCTGATTTGCCACGTGTGCTCGGCGAGAAGGCTTTGTAACTAACCGTTTCAATCTCTCTGCAACCACCTATCTAGCGGTTACGGGGCAGTCGGCATAGTGATAATATGGTTCAGCAGAGTGTTTGCTCAAGGGTTCATAGTTCATAAGTACATAACACTTTCGGGGCTAAACAGATCTTGAGAAATAGATTTAGGTAATATGGAAAATATTTCCATGAGCTCGCGGTGTTGCCATCTGTTGGATATAATCACATTAGTCACGGAAAGTTATAGTCCAAGGAATTATGGCTGCCTCCAGACTGAAAAATCGCCAACTGACACTGACTGGAATAAAAATATAGAACACAATGGTGTTTTCAAAATCGTGTAACGTGTTACCTTGTATAATTTATTAACGAATTTAGAAAAGAAATTTAAATTATTCCGTTTCTGTACGCGGACATTGTAAGGCAGAAGGTATGTCGAAGAAGTTAAAAAATATGGCGGTGAACTCTTCTCTCACATGCCATCTAAAAATTCTTAAAATGAATGGAGATGCTCAGAAGTGGGATATATATATAGGCTTTAACTATTTACACTTTATGTTTTAAATTATGGTTAAGTATTTTATACGTGTTTACAACACGAGAAAATGTAGTTCTACCGTCTGCCGTCTATTGAAATAGGCGAGCATTCTTGTACAGTTTTTTTATAGAAGGGTAAGAAAGGAACAAACAACCCACCTAATGCTAGATACTGTGGAGCAGACTACAATTGGAGCGGAGCGCATTTGTGAGAGACTGATTTTTACGGACAGACGAATTGACTCTGGAGAAAGCAACAAAATATGTCAGACGGGTGAAATGTCAATAGACAGCAAGCGTGTGATGGAAGCAGAGGTAGATTCGGCAGCTCGGTGAGCTCCAGACCCCTGCGCGTTCTAGCGCTGTCGTGCGCGGCGGCGGGCGGCGCTTTCTGGGGACACGGCGGGAACACGGTGTTCAGTGCACTGATGTAGATTCGTGTCCAGCTGTTTCGGTGAAATGCTAAACGTGCGATAATTACGTCAGGATGTGCAAATGTAAAAATAGTGTTAAAAATGTATGAAATAGAGGTGGACGCAGAAAATCTGATAATGATGAATGTGAATTCTTCTATAATAATGCGGAATAGTTTTTTTTGTTTGTTTGTTTAAAGACGTTAATCTTTGGAACTACCAGTCCAATTTGAAAAATATTTTTATATATTATAGCCAGATTGGTGAGGAATAGTATAGGCTATCTAGTATTAGGCTACATCTCTCAGCTAGCCTTAAATATTGATTTTTGTAATGCAAGTCAGAAGAAAAAGCGCTTCCGAAATGATTTATTCGCGTGTGCTGGCGTAATACGAGTAGTTAATGATACGTAAATACAATGTTCTACAAAAATATAGATCTTTACTAAAAAAAGTACACGATCATATATGCTTATTTCTTATACATAAGTCACAATAAGGTATTTTATGATAAAAAAATATTAAAAATTAAAAAGTGGTTCATGAACGTTATTATTAGCATATTAATTATTACGAACGAAAGTTACTTCATCATCAAGACAGTTTTATGAAGATAAGCTTTTAAGTTCAAATATACAGGGTTATTTTGCAGTAACCGGCCAAATTTACAGAGATGGTTCAGAATAAGTGATATAGACAAATGGTGAAGAAAATTGATCTTTTAAATTCAAAATGCGTGGTAAAGCACTATTTTAACTGATTTTACCATAGATAAGTCTAAACTTAGAATATACTATCCTAAGGGATAGTATTTAGGATAGTATATTCTAAGTCTATGGATTTTACGACGTATTTGCCTACGACCTATCGACGCTTACGAATTAGTTTTTAGAATTAGTTAGATATTTATGAATGACAATCAACTAAATTAATGCATTACCACGCATATTGAATTTAAAAGATAAAAAGGACAGAATGTTTAAAATTTTTTAAAATTACCTAATTTTTATTTTCCATTTGCCTACCTATAATACTTATTCTGAACCTTCTCTGTAAATTTGGCCGGTTATTGCAAAATAACCATGTATAAAAGAATTTAAAGCACATTAGTATTCGGGTAATAACAATGTTAAACTAATGTAGCTAAGTACTAATACTGATACATTATTAACTTCGTCATATCGCGCCTAACAATGAACACTTTATCAAGTCAAAATTTTGGATATTTGAGTTAATAACTGATTCAGAAAGAAGGTATTTTTCCCTACCAACTGACAATACAGACGTATATGCATCTCAAATACTTGCTAAAATATAACAACAAAAATCTATTTCGAATGTTACGATCAGTCATTGATTGAACAAGTATTACAGACGCATTTTAATATATTATATCGTTTTCCCTTACTAGGTTAAGTAGGTTGTCAGCTAAAGACAAACAGCGTTTGTATCATTTCGAGTAACGCCATCGTAAATTGTTTCATAGGGACAAATAAATAAAATTTATGCGATCAATATAGTATTATCTTTTACTTAATACTCTGTTACCTGTGATTTCTTTTAAGCAAAATAATATCATCTCAAAATGCTATTGCTAATAAATTTGAAATTATTCTTCATTTTAGGTATGTGTTAAATGTAGTTGATACCTTATAAGGTTCAAAATTGCTGAATGATAACATTTATCTCAAAACGACACTATATGGCTTTCAAAATGTTTAGTATTTTATGCATGTTCTAGTATCATCTCGGCAATTATGAACCGCAACAGAAGGACATTGAGGACGCTGATCACAGCAAAGTACAATGAAAGTAGCACTAAGAACAAAGACGACGATAATGGCTTACCGAAAAGACTATTCAACCTTTTTCCCCACATTGTTTATGGACGTTGCAGCTTGCAGCGTATTATGGCACACCACGAATGGGTCGACTCTATCGGGAAAAGCACTTGCATATAATACTAATGTTTCGTGTGGTGCATGTAGAGAAACGGAGATCCTTTTAACTGCTAGCTAGTCTCAGTCCACAAAAGTGACAAAGTCTCGATATTTTGATTCTTATTCGAAGATAAATGCAGGTATAGTTGCACCCCAGCATCCAATTACCATCAGTTGACATATGTATTCGTTTGTGAACTCTACTCTACTTCTACAAACCGCTAGATCATTTGCGATCACCCACCATTGGTTAAATAAATTGATTTAATATAGAAACTTGCAAGCATGTAGGTACTAATTTGGTTAGACAAAAAAAATTTGGACCTATACTTGAGAGAATTATGGTCTTAAGTGAGCACATAGCTTGAGTGAAGCAAGAGTGAGTGAATGCTTTTACATGGTAGAGCCATGCTGCAGCTATATTAGTAGTATAGTTGTAGCACGAATGGGTCGACTCGACCGGGGAAGGACCATGCTCTCACAGAATACCAGCGTAAAATAGCAGCTTAACGCTGCTGTGTTTCGTATGGTGAGTGTAGAGAACCAGAGACCCTTTTTACTGGAAAAAGAG